TGTGGGGGGGGGGGGGGGGGCGGAGGTACTGCTCAACGCCACGGGGGCCAGGAGGAGGAAGGCCCCGAAAATCTGGGCCCGACGGCCCAAACTTCTGGGCACACTGGCTGGCTAGACGTGGGAGCGGCGTCTCTTGTGCAAAGGTTGGAGCCCAGAAGCGATTGAGCTCCTGAGCGGCCCCTTCAAGAAACGAAACCGCCTCATCCGAACCCCCCCCCCCCCCCCCCCCCCCCCCCTCCCACCGCGACTCCAAGCACCCCCGCGAGGTGTTTTCGCCGTCCGAAGTTGCGCCAATGCCTAGAGCGTCTCGCAACCGCGGCGCGACGCTGCCTGATGCGGGCTTGCATCCCAGGGTGAGGTTCGCCATTGGCCTCGGCTTCGAGGGATCGCAGGATCTGCTGGCGCCCCTGTCTCTGCAGCGATGCATGGAAATCGTGGAGCGCTCCTGGATCCACGAAGAAGACCGCGCTCTGTCCTACGCCCGCGTGGGGGTTGGAAACCGGGAGATGGGAGCGAATCCGCGCATGGCGAGCGAGGAGGCATCGGACCTATCGAACGCCCTGGCGAGAGACACAGCGCGCGGCCGAGCGAGTAACCACGGCCCGCGACACGAGGGCACGCGGCTGGGTGTCCAATTGTTGATCCCGCACAGCTTTGGCCAACCGGTGTCTGCAGAGGGTGGCGTAGCGCAAGGCCTCGGGGGGCTCGCAGCGGCCAAAGTCAACGCGCGATCCACGCTCGGCCACGAGCTTCGGGCGCAGGGGGTCGGCGACGACATGGCGCGGAAGAGGGCGAGTCCGAAGGGAAGGAGGAGGCGAGGAATCATTCGCCCGTGACCGAGCTGTCATCATAAGGGTGACAAGTGCATGGTCACTGACGCCTGCGAGAAACATGACGTGAGGCCCCTCAAAGCGAAATCGTTGGTCGGCCCTCGCAGAGAACCCGTGGCGGCGTCGCCGTGAAGAAGCGATCAACGCGCGACTCGGAAAATGTTCCTCGGTGCCAACATGTTGGGGCCTCGCACGAGGGTTCGGTGAGTAGCTTCCAAATCGCCCTCCAGGCGCTGTCTCCCGCTCGCGGCTGGCCCGAGGCACCGCTCGAGGAGCATGCTGTATTAAAATCCCCATGTCGGGCGCTCCCTGCGCGCTGGGGGTGCGACCGAACGCCGACGCCTGCGCCAAAATCGTGCGTTTAACGGCCGCCAGGGCCGAAGCGGGGATCTTGAAATTGTGCGCATTCCAATGAAACAGGCAAGCAGATGGAGAGGAAAACCTCAACATTAGAATGCGCCCTGGAACGAACGAAAGCTCTTCGACCTGGAGGGCGCCGCCCAAGTCAGGATCTAGGGTGGCGACACCTCCAGCGTTCGCCCCCTCGCAGCATGATCCAATAACTTTGTGAGAGGGCCCTATGCGTTGGCAGAGGTCGGCAACTGCAGCAGGTGAGCCGTGCGTCTCCTGGAGACTCACCAGCGCCCTCGGCTTAGCGAGGGCGCTCAGCATGCGCAGCCTCCGCGTCATACCCGATGAGGAATGATGACAGAGCGCCCGAGCGTTCCACGAGACGTAGTCGACCGAGTTGCCGCCCATGAGGGTGTTATTCACACCGCTCCACTTACCTCGGGGCGAACGCCCTCTTGCTGAGCGCCGCCAGCGTCGCGTAGTCAAGGCCCGCGTCCGTGGCGCCATTCCTGTTCCAGAGAACCGCTGGGACTTCGCCAGCAGCAACCTTGATCTTCGCCACGTGTTCCCACTGGTGGGTGGGCGTGCCAGCATCCTTGTCAATGTAGATATTGTGAGTGGCGCGGCACTGGGACTCAAGCGCATTCCGAAGTGCGCGGCATGCCCGTTCCCGAGCGAGGTCGCGCCGACCCTTGTCGCAACCGACGTACACAGGAATAGAACGCCCACCAGGCGCCCAAATCGCGAACGACCGCCATTGGCCACTGCCCAGGCGGAGGGCGCTCTGGCAGTGTCGAATCCGAGCCAGGCGCGCAGCCTCCATCGGGCCGAGCATGCGCAGGACAAAACCTTTTCCCAACTGAGGACCCTCCAGCTGCACTTCCTTGCCGTACTCGCACCCACACGTAGATACCCATTCTTGCAGGCACTCCTTTGCGTGGATGAGGGAGATCTCCTCCTTCGCCGTGACCGTAAAAATGGTGGGGTCGATCTCCCCATCCCAGTCACCAGTGCGAACAACATGAGCCCGCGGAGGAGCAGACCTCGCAAGGTCGAGTTCCCCCTCGAGCCTCGCGAGGCGCTCCAGCATCGCGCGCTGTCCTGCCTCCATCGCCGCAACCTTCTCATCAGTAGCGTCGAGCAAGTACCGATGTGATTCTCAACGGGTGCGCCGAACTTCTTGAAAGCGGGAGCAGTGGCCGCCGCAGGCGCTCCAGGCAAGTGGGCCTTGATGGAGCTGAGGCGCACCGAAGACATCTCCCGCAAGCATCGCTCCTGGAATTGGGCAAACAGCTCATCGCGTACAGCAGGCATCTCTTGCCGAAGTTGTTCCCGAAGAAACCCTGCTGCCCGCGGGCCTCCGCCGCGAGATGCGCTCTGAGCGGCCACAGGGGCAACGCCACCTGCTTGGACACGAGGAGGGCTGCCCGCCACGGGAGCGCAGCACCCACCTTCGGGAGTGCCAGGAGCGCTCTGTCCCAGCGGCACTACAGCAGCAGCGGCAGCCGCACCTTGCGCCATGCGCAAGGTGCGGCGATTTCCTGCGATGGGAAGGTCGGAGCGGCTTCCCCTGCAGCCTGTGTGCGTTCTCCCTCAGGGAACGTCGGCATGTCCTCCACGCGCGCCAGCAAGCTTCCAGGCTCCTTGCCCGCGCTGCGGGAGCGTGCCGACGGGGCGGGGGAAGCAAGGGCCGCCGCAGCCACTGCAGCACGTAGAACACCGTCAGGGCGTTGCCGAACACGAGCACCAGGGCGAGGGGGCATGGGGTGTGAGCCCACGCTGCGTTCAGAATCAGGAGCGCCAGAAGCAGCGCGCCGACGGCGGGGGGTATGCTTGAGTCCTTTCTTGCGACCATCGTGTCCCATAGCAGCCCGTGGGAGAACAAAAGAAAGAGACAAATTCTTGGCCCCAGCAGCGCGCAGCTCGACTGGGGTTGCCTGAAGCTGGGTCTAGCCTCGGACCCGAGGTATTCACTTCTGGCCCCGAGGGCAAAAACATCTTGAGCTAAAATGGCTACGGACATCTTGAGCCAAAATGGCTACGGAGGAGGCGGCGGAGGAGGAAGAGGAGGAGGGGGGCCCTTTGCCCCTTTTGCCCCCGCTGAGCGCCCGATGTCTGGCTTGGAGCAGGGCCGCCGCTCGGGCACCAGGCCGCGTCGCGCGAGGCGGCATCTCCTCTCCGGGCCCCCGAGAGAGGCCGGCCCTGGCCACGGCGAAGCTCCGTGCAGCGGAGGGCCCGGCCCCCGCATATGCCCAGGGCCTCGTGCTTTTCTCTTCTTGGCGGCACGCACAAGGGGGCTGCTTCCTATAAGGAGGCTGTTTCCTAGAAGGCGCCGGCCTGGCATCTACAGATAAAGGCCCGCGCCCTCCAAGAAGCAGGGGTGCTTCTGAGAAGCCCTCCCCCCTCCCCCCACTGCAGCGATATTTATCATCATCGCGATTAACACTCACTGGTGCGACTTCAACATGAAAAATGCTCCTCCCCAGGCTCTACGGCGAATTCGCTTTCAAGGGCGATATGTTGTTCTAATCTAGTTCGCTAACATATCATGATATTCACGAGTAACAACATGACATATCATGTAACATACCCTTTGCTAGCCATTCACTACTTACTCACTACCATGGCAACATCCAGCACCACTTTCGCATTACTTTCTCATCAACATGGCAACAGTCATCACCACGGGGCGCTGATGAGGGGCCGCGGGCGAGGCTGGCCCGGGACCCCCACTAAGCGCAGGCAAGATAGGCCCCCGATGTTGAAACACTGCGCTGGAAAAATCGGGCCCCTACATCGTCGATGAGCGGACGAGTTGTAAGTCGATTCGCTCTATCCTGAGCCTATCGTACCCTAGCGTTACCCCTGACCGATGTCTGCAAGGTGGTCTTCGGGCCACAGCTCTCCTCCCCAGGGGCCGCTCGAGACGATCCGAGCAGCCCCAGGAAAGCTCTCGGCCAGGCGCAGCCGCTGGAATTAGGTCGGGCATGTCCTCGTACAGGCGGATGTTGGGCGGAAGATGAAACATAATCAGCAGATAATCAAAACATGCTAGTAAATGCTCAAAACATCATCGTCCCAGACTATGTGTTGACAATGTTTGAACATTCCTCCTGTAGAGGGACACGCCCGACTTGACGCTAGAAAGCCTACCGAGGCTGGAAGACCGCCGAGAAGCGACGAGCACACGCGAAGACCTCAGGACCTCAAACCTCCGACCGGGAACTCCCCCTCCGCCTGGTCGATGCTCTCCCTGTGTGAAGCGCTGCTGGCGCAAATGCGCCCGAGTCCAGAGTCGGGGAGCTACTGGCCCGGGTCAGTCCAAACCTGGGTCAGTCAAGATTGGCAGGATCCTGCAATATTCAGGTCGGGCATGTCCCCCTACAGGCGGATTAGGGGCGAAAAATTAAGAATACGAGAAACAATGCTCAAACATAGCAGGAACGTAATAACAAATCGCCCCCAGACTATATTTTCAACTGTTTCTAAATATTCCTCCTGTGGAGTGACATGCCCGAATTGATGCAAGCGCCTGCATGATCCTGCAGGGTCCTGCGCCCCAGCCTGGGCCAGTGCAGCCCTGGCTCTGCGAGATCCTGCAAGATCCGACGCTCTGGCTGACCGCCGCTTGTATTAGGTCGGGCCTGTCCCCCTGCAGGCAGCTTGGGGGCGAAAAATGAATCCCCCAAAATAACCAAAAATAAACAAAAATGGTAGAAACATCGTCCCCAGACTATTTTTAAACAATTATTTTTGAATATTCATCCTTTGGAGGGACATGCCCGACTTAACGCTTGAACTGACCCCCGTCACTGGAGCCCCGGAGGAGTAGGGGCGGCGCCACAAGGCGGCCAGCCGCCGGCTCGGCTAGCTCTGGGCGCCCGCGGTGAGGAGCGCCCTGAGGCGCTCGTTCTCCTTGCGCAGCTCCTCCGGGCGTTTTTTGTTTTTTTGTTTTGTTTTGTATTTTTGTGTCTGTTTCTTCTCCTTCTTCTTCTTCTTCTTCTTCTCAAACAATCATTAATGTCACTGTTTGTGTGCATTTTATATATATATATATATGTGTATACCGATGTATGTATAACAATATATTGTATATAGGTGTCAACATTATCTATGTATATGTGTGTTATTAAACCACCCAGCTGCAGCAAGCAACGAGTAATACGAAGCCGATACGAGGACAACATCGGGTGAAGATAAATCGGGAATTCCTGAGATCCGGCGGTTCTGGAGAACGTCTCGGGCGCCGCCGCCGTGTCAAGCGTTCCCGAGCTCAGGCACCGCGGTTGTGTCAGAGCGTTCCGGCGTTCCTGAACGCTCCGAGAGCGTTCCAGAACGCTCTGGGACGGATTTATCCTCGCCCTAGCCCCGTCCGAATGACGCTATCGACAAGCCTCCCACAGCTGACACATCAGCTGATCTTGCGAAACACCTCGGGTTGCAGTGCGAGCTGTTTGGTTTGGGCGTGGGTTCAAGTCAAGCGCTAACTCCCAGGCAACAGCGGGACCGAACGAAGGCCCGAACAAAGGCAAACGGGCGAGAGCCAGACGAAAGACACGACGGCTTGCAACGCGAGTTGTTTCGCAATGCTCCTCCGAGCGGGGGTGGTGACCAGCGATTCGAACCGCTCGTTTTGAATATCTTTGCTTCCCCTCAACCGAGATGTGGGGGACGAGGCCCTTGAAAACCTGGGAGTTTGCGGACAGATGGTTCCAAATCGTTGATGAACAGTTTGCAAACATCCGAATTTGCTCATGACTTTGGCATGCCTAGGTGAAGGGGCAAGCTGGAAGCCCAAACATTCTCGCGGGACTAAATGCCGGCACGCTCGGAAAAGCGTCGGGACTTCTGGGAGCCCCATGTTCCAGACATCGCGTGTCTGGGAGTACGGCGGGACCACTCGAGGGCACCCTCCCCCAGGATGCACCAGAACATTCAACGGACACGACGAACATCAGGGTACCCTCGATGAATTGACCTCGACCGTTTACGTCGGACAGACCGTAGAGGCAGGATGGAGGGAGGGAGGGAGGCGGAGAAGCAACACGAGGGAGGAATGAGCACAGCCAAGGGGGGGAGGAGGAGCACGGCGGCGTCAAGATGCTCGCCGCCGGCTGATCGAGGTGCCTTCCGGAACGAAACAGCGGAGGAGGAGGAGGAGGAAGAGGAGGAGGAGGAGGAGGAGGGGGAGGAGGAGGAGGAGGAGGAGGAGGAGGAGGAGGAGGAGGAGGAGGGAGGGGAGGGGAGGCGGAGCGCAGGAGGAGTCTGAGTGCTTTGTACGGTCGTCGGCGAGGGGGGTCTCGGAGGAGGCAGGAGGGAGGCGGGGAGACAGCAATGCGGGACCGGGGTGGATCGGATCGGCCCGGCGGGAGGAAGCGTCATTCTTTTGGATGCGGCAAAGAAGAGGCGGGGAGGAAGCGTCATGCTCCGAAGCGCCGTCCGGGGCCCTCTGGGTCAACAGTGTAAAGCTCTGTGCTCAGAAATAGCCTTGGCAGTATCTGTATCCCGCCCGGCCCAGCGGACAAGAAAACACGGCGGCCCCAATCATCCACCCTGGCGCGGAGTGGACGGAGGATGGATGATCAGCAACAAGACAAGAAGATGCCCGCCGAAGGACGACGGTCCCGGGGCGAGTCGGAGATTTCTCGGAGGAGGAGGAGGAGGAGGAGGAGGAGGATGCGGGATCGACCGTCGGGTACCTCGGCAGGCGGCGAATCTGCAGGCGGTGCACATGGATACGCTTGGCCCTCCCAGAGCCTGAACATGTCCAGATCTAACGCCTGCAAAGGTCCCCGAAGATGGATCCAGCAAGCGGTGGTTGTGGAGAAACCTCCGCGTCGGAGGGAGGACACACGCCCACGCCTGCGCTGCAGTGTTGCAGCGATACCGCCGACCCTGGCATAGACGAGCTAGCCGTGCGCACCCAGACCTGCGAGGCCGTGATCGTTTTTCCGCGGAAGCGCCTCGCACCGCTCGGCCTGGGCTTTTCTCCGCGAGCCGTTTCTTGACAGCTTTTGGGCGCCAGAAAGCGGACCCCTGGCGCCAAAGAAGAACGTCCACCGCGACTTGTTCGACGTCTGAGGTCTGGGCAAGGCGACGCGCCCCTCGCGATTCCTTTCGTGAGAGATGAGGTCTGGGCAAGACGACCTCTCTACATCTGTTAACTAGCTGGGGCGCGTTCTGGCGTGCGGAGGAACGAGGATACATATTCGTTGAACGTTCTTGACCTTTCGGACTCTCTGAAGGTCTCCACATGCCTCTCGGGACCTCCATAGGCCTCCACATGCCTCTGGGGCCTCCGAGTCATGCTGCAACGACATTCTGGACTGTCAGAGCAGCCCGCGCCTGGCAACCGCAAGATCAACCGCCGCGCATTACGATGACGCCGGGCAATCATGCACGGCCCTTGGGCGCCACTGAGGGTACAAGAGGGGCTCATCAAATGGGCGAATTTGGTAGGAATGCACCCCTCGATCACTTTACGTGTTTTCGTGACAGGGGCACCAGGGGTGCCAGCGTATTGCCAGATGTTTGCAAGCCCACCAACCCTGCCAGGAACAAATGCAAAGCACACATTCCGGTAAAGTCTTGGACCATCCGCGAGCGCCCCGCGAACACGGAGCACTGTCATTTGGTAAGGGTGATGGGGGTGCCCTGGCACGTGCGGAGCACCTCGCGGGCGTCGCGCACCTGGCTGACGTCCGCATTGGTTCCCGACGGTTGTCGATGGCGGTCCCTGCCTACGCTGAGACTCGGGTGCTGCTTCAGTGGTGGGAGGGCGGGTGGAGTGTGCGAGGAGGACGTCCTTCGAGGAGTCGCTCGACCCCGCCCTCTACCCGCTCCTCTGTTCTTCTGTTTTGGGGGCAGGGGCGAGGTGTCAGCCGTTTCTATCGGGCCCAATCTGGCTCCAGGATGCCCCCCGACATCCCAAGATGGGCTCCAAGATGGTTCGAGATGGCGAGAGATGGTTCGTGGTAGCCTCCGACATAACTCCGAGAGGCCCAGAGACGGTCACATGACGGTTTCAAGCGTCCCTGGCGTCCCCCCCAAAGAGCCCCCCAGATGCCCAAACCGTCACAAACCAAAGGGGAATCACTGATGACCACAGACAGTCCCAAGAGATTCCCAAGACGGCCCCAGAGGCCACCAAGAGCGCTCTAGGAGGCCCCCAAAGAGAGCAATGGTTCGGCTTCGGAGGAGGGGACCCGAATCCCCCCACCATTTTTGAGCCATACGGCCCAAGATCGCCAAAAGAAGGCCCCAAGGCCACCCCAAAGAGCCAGAAAAAGGGCCCCGAGACAGTCCCAAGAAGACCTCGAGACGGCCCCCCAAAGACCCTCATGATAGCCCCAATAGTCTTTCGAGAGGCTCTCATCATAAAACGTCAGCGACGGCCTCCTCATCCCTCATTCTCCTCCTCTCCCTTTCCTTCTCTTCATCCGTCTCGTCCTTCTCCTCGTCCTCCTCCTCTTCCTCTTCATTCTTGCTCCTCCTCCCCCTCCTCGCCACCTTCCTCCTGTAGCGCCTCCTCGTTCTCCTCATCCTCATCTCCTCAATCAACCTTCTGATCCAAGCAACCCTCACGGGCATCGTTTCTGGATGGGCTGGTGGGAACACGCGAAACGGCAATATTGTTGGGCGGCCACCCCATCCTTACCTGTATCACTGTGGCCTCCGCTATTGCGTAGCTGAGGGCATCGTGGGCTTACCGATGCTGCCGAAGCTCTGTCGCCATCACCACTGGCACCCTACACCTATCACCATCGCAATCGTCACCTTCACTTTTGCATTTAATTGTCCTTGCTCTTCCTCCTGTGCCTGACCACCTCCTCTGCTGCCACCGCCGCTACCACCGCGGTCGCCCATGTACACCGTCGCCGGCACCGAATCGCTGCTGCCACCTCACGTTGCTGATCTCACACCTGTGTGCACGCTAGCGTTGAAGACACCATCGTGCTCGTCTTCGTATTGTTACCAGTGGCTCTCCTCGTTCTCGCAGCGGAAGCGCTCATTCCTCTCGCGCACACGCTTCCCGATATCCGCGAGCGACATCTCGCCGACGAACTGGCCTTGCAACAAAAAGCTATGATGATTGCGGACGGAGGTGTTGGCCGGGATCAGGCAAGACTTCCCGAGCGGTGGCTGGGTAGATCTGGCCTCTTGGCGACGCGCCAGCCGATGCACGTGGCAGCCCCTGGCAGCAGAAGGCAGGTGGGTCCAACACAGGCCCTCGGAGGCCCCCTGGCGCGCACTGCTGCGCACTGCGCCGAGCTTCTGCTCAGACTCGGCGCAAGCCGCGCCACGACGGGGCCAGACCATCGGCGCCGTGCCTGTCTTTTGCGGCGTGGGCTGGGACGCACAGAGACGTAGTAGTACTGTCTGTCCACATTGGAGACGCGCGTCCAACCCGAAGATCTAGTATACCCATCATGTAGTGTATCGTTTCCCCAGCGGTGTGGCCAGAGAGCGCCCGCCACGACGCACGTACTAGGAGATTTCTCGGTGCGCGTGTCGCCCCTGGGGGGGGGCGACGCGCACACAGTAGAAGTATGCTGGGGTGACGCCGATGGGCCCCCCGAGCTGTCGACCCTCGCCCCCAGGTTCGGGTGGACCCCGGGGTGCGAGAAAAAGTCCACCCCGCTGGAGGCGACGGGGGTCTGAGCCGGCCGGGCCCAAGGACAATCTGCCCAAAGGGAAGGAGGGACGAAGGCAACTTCGACCAAAACCAGTCCTCAGAAGCGTACCCATCGGTCGGAAGAAGTGCGTGTAGAAACATGAAGTAGGAAGGCGCCGAAAGTAGATCGGGTGTCCGCCCGCCCCCGAAAGAGGAAGGAAGAGGGGAAGCCGCTCGATCATTTAAGCATGAAGGCGCTCAACGTAGATTGGAACCTGGGGATGCAGAAATACATCCTTTCAACGACCGATGGGTACTCAGACGCGCCTGGCCAGAAGCCACGCGCCTCCGCAGAAGCCCCCCCCCGCCGCCGCCGCCGCAGAGGGCCGACCCCCCCTCGCGCACCCCCTCCCTCTGCGCGCACCGCCGAGACGCCTCGGGCCCGGGACGCTCGGAAGCGGCACGGGGTCTTCGCTGGACGGGTCCTGAGCTTTACTCCAGCAAAGCAGCCCAATGTCGGGGGCGCGCAGGCATGGCGATCCACGGATCCGGCGCGCAGTCGTCAAACCCATGGATCGGGGGAGGTGCCCTCCCCAAAATGCGGCCAGCACCGCCCCGTTCGGCGGCGGAAATCCGCGATGTCCCATGGAAACTGGACCCGTCGCGAATCCACGTCCCCTTGATCCATGCTTGCGATCGCCGGATCATAACAGCAAGTGTGGAGAGGCGGGTCGAGCAGTTGGTGGCGGGACAAGGGCGGAGTGCAGCCGGGGAGAGCTCGGCCCTCGCGCCGTGTTTTGCAAAGGACCGTGGCCGTCCAGACCAGACATGAAGCAGGCGTTGAGGCGAGAGCACGACATCCGAATCACGCGGCGGGACATCTCAAGCGAAGCGGCTGCTGGCTCACACGTCCTACGGGTCCCCGTCCCCCCTTGTGGGACTCTTCCATGGGTCATCCGTACTACCATAGCATCGCCATGAGGAAAACTCTGTGAAGAGGGGGGGCGAAGGCAAATCTGAACAACATCGATTCCCCGACCTCGCCCGGGGTCGAAACTGATTGGTTTTTGAGCCGCGTCCAGCCGTGGCAACGATCGAGGAGGAGGAGGAGGAGGAGGAGGAGGAGGAGGTGATAATGATATCGCAATCTCTCGACCCCGTGTTCCTGTTGTACCTCCCCAGCGGGGCCGATCGGCTGCAGGTCCTGGGGCCCCACGGCTGGCGAAGGCGCCGGGCGTGAACAATACCGTGCGGGCGCGGCCGCAAGCAACCCTCGCAAGACACCCAACTCGGGTCGGGCGACAGGGGGGGATGGCAAAGGGGGGGTTTGAGAATCAGCTCACGTAGCTGATTTTCCCGGCGCCTCCCAGCGCCGGAGGCGGCTATGTATCGAGGAACGGGCCCCTCGGTGGGGCCGAAACCAGCTGCATGCAGCAAATTTCGTAACCCCCCCTTTCCCAATCCCCCCCTTTCGCCCGACCCGACCAACCCTGAGAACCCGCGCGCGAGGTACACCTGAGGGGAAAGCCGGAGCACCATGAACGCAGCAGCTCCTTCAACGGCTGCGGGAAGTCACCGCGCAGCGCGAGGAGCGAAGAAATCCAGGATACCCTGACGAAAAGCAAATGGCTTCTTGATGTGCGCACCCACTGTATTGTGACGCCTGGATCAGGGTCTGCCAAAATTAGCGCGTTCCACCCCGAAAAGCGCCACTTGCACCGCCAGGAAACGGCCACATCCACGGCTGCTGCAGCCATCTCCTGGGTCCCTGGTGAGCGGTGTGTGTGTGTGTGTGCGTGTGTGGATGAAGATATCCAGATCCAGGAGAATCTTAGAAAGACTCGAGATTCCTAGCCACGACTCCGAGGCAGTGGACATGGATCTATTCTGGAGATGCCCTCAATCCCCTCCCATCTCGAATTTGATGGAGCTCGATCGGTCGAGACTTCGCCACTGCCCATGTGGCGTTGGGCCCTCGTTTTGCATAGACAGCGTCCCGCGTCCACTCCTGCTCGCTCTCCCCCTCTCCTCCCATCCTCGCCTCTGCCCTCTGCATGCCTCTGTCTCGGCACACCCCTCACACGTTTCGTGGCCCCAATCGGGAGCTCCACCGAAGGCCCCGGAGGCGGTTTTCGAATGCGTCCCCCGCGCCAATCTCGACACACATCTCACGCGCTTCGTGGCCACGTAAAAAGCTCCACCGAAAGCCCCAATGGTGGTTTTCGCATGCGTCCCCCGCGCCCATTTCGGCATATCACTCATACGATTCGTGGCCACATGGGGAGCTCCACCGAAGGCCTCAGTGGCCTCATAGGGCCTCATAGGGAACTCCACCGAAGGCCCCTGTGACAGTGCTCTCATGCGTCCCACGCGCCCTTCGCGGCACACCCCTCACACATCTCGTGGCTCCGTAGGAGCTCCACCGAAGGCCCTTATGGTGGTGCTCGCATGCGTCCGCGGCTCCCTTCGGAACACCGCTCACACGTTCCGTGGCCCCACAGGGAGCTTCACCGAAGAACCCAGTGGCGGAAATTGCATGCGTCCCCCGCCGATTCCGGTACACCCTTCACACGTTTCGTGGCCCCATGTGGAGTTCCACAGAAGGCCACTGTGGCGGTGTTCGAATGCGCCCCCCGCGCCCATTTTGGGACACCCCTCGCACGTTTCGTGGCCTCTTGGAAACTCCACCGAAGACGATGGTCAGTTCCTTCGCCATAGGGAGTTCCCCTGTGGCATGCGTTGCTGACAACTGCATATGGTTGGGTCCTTCGCCAAGCTACCTTTCAGTTTCGTGTTCAGCGCTCGCGGGCAACACACACACACACACACACGCACGCACGCACGCACGCACGCACGCACGCACGCACGCACGCGCGCGCACGCACGCACGCACGCACGCACGCACGCACGCACGCACGCACGCACGCACGCACGCACGCACGCACGCACGCACGCACGCACGCACACGCACGCACGCACACACGCACGCACGCACGCACACGCACACGCACACGCACCCACGCACACGCACACGCACACGGCACACACGCACACGCACACGCACACGCACACGCACACGCACACACGCACACGCACACGCACACGCACACGCACACGCACACGCACACGCACACGCACACGCACACGCACACGCACGCACGCACGCACGCACGCACACGCACACGCGCACGCACACGCACACGCACACGCACACGCACACGCACACGCACACGCACACGCACGCGCGCACGGCGCACGCGCACGCGCACGCGCACGCGCACGCGCACGCGCACGCACACGCGCACGCGCACGCGCAAGCCGCAAGCAACAGCACACACACACACACGCACACGCACACGCACACACGCACACACACACACACACACACACACACACACACACACACACACACACACACACACACACACACACACACACACACACACACACACACACACACACACACACACACACACACACACACACACACACACACACACACGCACACACACACACAACGTTGCGAAACACCGCGATCGGAGCACTCGATCCCATGTTTGGAAACATATAAAACAAATCCATAGCCATAATCATTCGGAGTTCCACGCAGATTCTGCGCTGGGCCCCCCTCCCTGGCGCACGGAGCGCGCCAGGGGCGGCGCCGGAGGCGCCGCCAGGGAGGCCCAGAGCCGATCCAAAAAATCCGTGCGGACGTCCGACGGCGGCGACGGCGGCGCACCTGTCGCCGGCGCCCGCGCGAGGAGCCGGCTCTGATAGAATGCTACTAGGGCTTGACCCAGCTCTCCCAGTATCTTGCTGGGACCCTACTGTACTCTGCTCTCCTCTCCTCTGCTCTACCCTACTCTACTCTCCTCTCCTCAACTTTACTCTACCCTGTTATATTCTGCCCGACAGTACCCAAACATACTCTACTCTACTTTGCTCCAATTCTACTCTACTCCTGCTCTACTCCGCTATGCTGTGCTCGAGATCTGCGCGGCTCTATTCATCTACTCTTCTCTATTCGAACCTACTCTGCTCCAATATGGTCTGCATATCCAATGTCTCCTCTACTGTACCCTACCCAACTCTACCCCACCCTACCGTACTTCACCCCTCTGTACTCGACTCTGCTCTACCCTACTCTACCCTTCTCCTCTTATATTATACTTCTACCCGATGCCTACTATACTCTGGTCGTCGTCGTCGTCCTGGTCGACTTCTTTGTCATTGTCGTCGTCGTCGCCCACGTCGTCGTCGCCGCCGCCGCTGCCTTCGTCGTTGTCGTCGTCGGGGTCGGCGTCGGCGTCGGGGTCGTCGCCGTGCGTCGTGGGTTCTGGGGCACCCGAATAGTTGAGCGCCCGAATAATTTTCCCGGGGAGGTGTTCTTGATTCTTTCATTGTTCCTTTTCCCCACCCTACAACTTGGGATCGTTGATTAGAAGAACAGGCCTCCCGAGCCGTCAACCCTGCATACTGCGGCCGCCAGATCCCCAGGTCCCCCGAGTATCCCGGAGAATCCCGCCTCGCGCCACTCTGCATACCGCGGCCGCCAGATCCCCAGGTCCCCCAATTGTCCCCGAGAGTCCCGCCTCGCGCCCAGAAATCATAACATATCCCCCTCCTCCACCGCCTCCACCTCCTCCTCCTCCCAGGATGGCGCCGCAGACCCGGCAAGACCCCCGCCGGCCTGGGCCTTCTGGCGACACCGCCGCCTTCAGCGCGGCGAGCTCCCGGCGCAGCTGTGCAATCTCTTCCTCGGCCAGGGACTGCTGCGGCGCCGCCTGCGAAGAGCCAGTCGAGGGGGAGGGGTGGAGAGCTCGGGGACCGCCGACGACCTGGGTCTGCACGCGCGTCGCACTCACACCGGCTGGAAAGCCACGGACGCCTCGGCGCGGTTGCAGGAAGGCCGTCTGCAGATGATCGCCAGTGCTCTGGCGGCTTCGGCGTTAGCTTCGGGGCAGCCTCGGGACCTCTGAGGGATCGGCGTCGCGGCAGCGAGCGCTGAGACCCGCACTCCCCTGCGGCGCCGCGCTCCCCTAGTGCTGATGCCCCGCAGCCAAACTCTGACTCTGAATGTGAAGCGAAGTATGTCGCGCATTCCATGCCTCCAATGTCTTGTTTTTCCTGCGCGCGAGTCACACAGCTTTTGACTTGTTCGTTCGGGGGACCTTATCGCATGGCCCAGAGAAAGGTCGTGGATTTCGGGCATGGCTGAAAGCGTCCGCCTGGATTCGTTCCCGAGACCATGAATGTCTGGTGGGCAGTACCTGAGTCGCGCTGGTACATGTCCCATGGGCGGCAGGCAGATGTACTCCCTGCTGCCTGACCCGCCGCCAGCAAGGTTTCTGGAGAACCCCCGAATTTTCAAGAGGTGAGGCTTCTTGAAACTCCATGACGCTTCTTGGAGGTTTCCACAAGCCTCGGGAGGCCTTCGGAAGCTTCCTGGGGCCCAACAAGGCCCTCCAAACGTCCAAACATCTGTGCACGGAACAACGCATTTTCGACGTCGGCGATGCCCGCAGGCCTCTTGCGGCATGTTAATTGGTTGGCGGTCATCGAAAATTTCGGCCAGCACATTTCGGCCAGCACCCATCTGCACTCATCCAGCGAGCGTGATTAAACAACCAAAGACTAGCATCGTTACCACGTTATGCAGCGCATGATTGCGAATACCTCTGTGGAAGTAGAATGTCCGATTGTATTGTAAGATGGGCGTCGCGCGGGCTAGATGGGACTCGACGCGCGTGAAGTAACGCGCGCGTGTACGTGTTTAGCGTACGTGTCACATTGCTTTAATCGTCGGTCTCCGCCATGGCCATATTCATCGCGTCCATGGTCACGTTGGCGACCGTCGATGCGATGGCGATGGTCACGGTGATGATCATGATGATGGTCACAGCAGTGATGATCATGCCAGTGCTGATCATCGTCATGGTGCTCATCACGATCATCATGATGACCATGATGACGACGAGTCCTGCCAGACCCCCTTGGACTCCTGGCGATGACGCGCTGCTGGAGAGGGACGCGACTTCTCGGAACCATGTAGCATGATCAATGTTATACCGCGACATGGCGGTCCACTGAATCCCGCCTACAAAGCACATGGCGGGACCAAATCACGCCACCTCTCATATCCCGTCCTGCGGTCGAGCATGTCCTGGAACGGTGTCAGGCATACTCGCGGTGCCTAAGGAAACTGTACTTCCACCGCGGCGCCAAGTTGCGCTGCGGTGAAAGCGGACACCTGTGAAATTTCAGATGGGCGTCGCGCGGGGCAGATAAGACTGGGTGCGTCTGAAGTGACGCGCGGTCAGCTGTTTGGCATGTGTGCCATACTTTGGCATACTGATGTAATTGTCGGTGTCCGCCATGGCCTGCCTCATCGTGTCCATGGTCATGGTGTTGGCGATCGCCGATGTGATGGTGATAATTACGATGCTGAAAATGATGATGGTCACCACCGTGATGATCATGACCGTGGTGATCATCGTCATGATGGTCACCATGATTATCATGATGGCCATGATGAGAAGTTCCTGCCATCGCCCATTAGAATCTCAGCGAAGACCCGCGGCTGAGACAACGGGATGTGCCGAAGTCCTGGAGTTTCGCGAATATTCAAGCTAAATCGCGGTAAACCGAGCCTCGTGTACCAACCATATGGTGTGTGGGATCAAGTCCCGCACCATGCCTCGTCCCGCCCCGCGGTCGAACGAGTCCCAGAACACTGTCGGACCGACTCGCAGTTCCCAAGGAAATGCAGCTACTGCCACCGCAATGCACTGTCGAACGATATGCCGTAGACATGTGCATGTGGACACGTGTTATTTGCACGCCCCGTGGCCGTCGAGACTCGCAACTATAAATCAAGCAGGGTTAAAACTGCACAACATCACTTAGATGCTCGTTCTGGGGACCTTCCCGGAGCCACTCGTCGATGCTGCGTCGAAGCCGCGTCGAAAGTCCGTCGACCTGTGTCGAACTGGAGCCGAGCTCGAGTCGACCTGGAATCGAGCTAGATTCGAGGTGGGGTCGAACCAGGTTCGAACTAGAGTCAACCCGATCCGCTGGGTGGCCCCCAAGAGAGGTCCCCAACAAGAGCATCTAACAGCACAGCTCCGGAGCACTTTTGGGCTCCTCGTGCCCCGCGGGAGCCACGGGAGCGACGTGCCCCGGCCCAAGGGCAAGGGGGCCCTGGACCACGGCTCTGAAGGGGGCCCAGGGGCACACAAATAACGAAGCACAAATCAGAAGAGATCCCTGATTGCTCTATATTTACTCGGTGTTCGTCTCCCCCCCTCCACTTCCCATAGTTTACCATCGACCCTCGATCTGTTTGCGGTCGTCGCCTTCGGCTGCGACAAGCGACGGGCAACCAGCACTCTTGAGCAACCTGCCTGGGGAGCAACATCTTCGACAGCCTTTGGGCAAATGCTTTTTGCAACACCAATGACGTCGAAAACGCCCACGCTGAAAAAGTCAGAATCATCGGAAATCTGGGACCTGGGACCCCCTCCCCTGAGGGGCAAGATCTTAGGGGGGACTGGCTCAGGGGGGGAGCATCGAGCTTGAATCGACGATCGCCGATAGATCGGCGATGGGCCCCCGACAACAAATCCAAACGTTTCTGGGCGGTGTGGGCTATCGGGCCCCTATCCGCGATGAACGGGCAATTTTGGCTCGACGCATCCCACCCCCTGACCACAGGGTCCATCCTATTTTAGGGCCATACATATCACACCTGCCAGCCGTTTGGGGCGATCAACGCACCTCAGGAAAGCTCTCGGCGAGGCGCGGCCGCTAGAGAGCATGCAGAGGCTGGAAAGCCGAGAAGGACCGACGAAACGCCCGACAAACTCGAACCTCGGGGTCAAAAACCATGCCTGGACCTCTCCTAGGGTGCTTTCTGGCCAGAATTTCGAGGTGGACCCCGCCGTGGCCACGAGGGCGCTCCAGGACGATCATAAACCTCCAGAGAGCGAACCTCGATCCTCGACCCCCGAACCCCGAACACCTCGAACCCTGGGAGGTCCCCCCCGCTTCGAGTAGGGGATCGACTATAGAATTGACTTATCCCAGACTTGTTTTATCGTCGAATCTACAAGACATGTGTCGACTGTTCCGTAGATCCGCGAGGAATGTGTCGAACACGTCGAATCTACGAGGAATGCGTCGAATATGTCGAGTGTGACAATCCTCGACGCTCGAACCCCTCAACCCGTCCCTCCCCAACGTTGCCCCCGATGCCCTCCAGGGCCCGCAGCCCTCTAATGGCGACCCCCGCGGCGCAGCTGCTGACGGCACCCCGAGGCTTAGGTCGGGCATGTCCTCCTACAGAGGGGATCTTGGGCGACAAACGAAAATTAGTTCAAATACACTAGCGCGCAAAATTGAGAAATGTTCTAAACATGCTCAAACATATCGTCCCGGGATCATTCTTGACAATTTCTGACTGTTCCTTCTGCAGCGGGACACGCCCGACTTAGCTCGAAGCCGAAACGTCGAATCTCGAAACCGCTGACTTCCAAACTTAGCACGGGGGAGGCGGGTCCTGAGGGAAACGGGTCCTGGACCCCGGGGCCTTCCCCCCGGACGGGATATCTTCATCCTGAATCGTTCTACGACAGCCCCCGGGCCCGTGGAGGGCCCCGAGGGCCCGAAAACGGCGCAAAACCTCAGGAACCGTCTGCTTCAGGACCCGCTTCCCCCATTGCGACTGAGACGCTGCCCCTGCTGGAAGGCACACCGAGGCCCGAAAGCCAACGCCGAAAACGCCGAAGACCTCGATCCTCGAACCTCGAAGCCGACACGTCGAACACACCGAGGCCTGAAAACAGACGCCGCAGACGCCGAACACCTGGATCCTCGAACCGAAACGTCGAATTTCGAACCCCCTGATTGAGCAGGGACTGACTGTCCCGGCATTACTATAGGCCTAGCACGAAATATTCTCAAAACCACCAAATGTTCTCAGAACAAAAACAATGTTCTTACAACACAAACAATGTGTTTAAACAAGACAATATCCGCCAAGCACGTTCTACGAACATTTGCTTTCTTGCAGACCACAAGAGGTCCTCAGAACATTCTTCGATGGGCCTACCGGTGACCCAGGACGCTTCGCAGCTGCTCGACCTGACCCCTTGCCCCTGCTCCCCTCCCAGTGGGCGACCCCGGCCCTGGCGTGCCGCCTCGGCGGCCCAGGCCTCGCGCGCCGCCGCGGGCCGCGCGCCCTTCAGCAGCGGCGCCGACCCGTCGGGCGCGGGCACCACCACCGGCGCCGGCGGCACCACGCTGGCTGCAAGCTCCGCGGAGGGCGCCGGAGCCGCCGCCTCGCCGTCGCCGCCGCCGCCGCCAGCGCCGCCGTCGTCGTCGTCGTCGCCGTCGTCGTCGTCGCCGTCGTCGTCGCCGTCGCCGTCGTCGCCGTCGTCGTCGCCGTCGCCGTCGTCGTCGTCGTCGTCGTCGTCGTCGCTGGCGTTGTTAATGCCGTCATCGTCGTCGCCGGCGTTGTCGGAGGAGGAGTGGGAGGGGCAGCGAGAGGAGGAGGAGAAGGAGGAGAAGGAGGAGGAGGAGGAAGAAGATGAGGAGAGAGAGAGAGAGGGTGAAGGAGCGGCAGAAGGAGGTGTCGGAGGGAGGGAGAACTGAGAGGAGGAAGGAGAAAGGGGAGGAGGAGGAGGAGGAGGAGGAGGAGGAGGAAGAACCAGGGCAGCATCACTGTTCTCGCTGCTAGCAACACAACCTTGAGAGACGAGCGCCCCACATGGGCCCGCCATTTGAAAGCGAAGAGTCCCTCCGAGAGGTGGCCCAGATAGCTCAAGATTGTAGCCAAAATCGCGCAAGAGATCCCTTCGAAGGACGACGACGAAGACGACGACGACGACCGGGATCTTGGGACGACGAGGACGACGACCAGGTCCAAGCTCGGATTGCTCAAGATGACTTGCAGCACGCCTCCAATATGCCAGGACACCGCCAACTACGGCTCCAAGTGGCCTCCAAACCACCCACGGACGCCCCCGAGAAGCCGAATCTGTCACTCACACACACATATACATACATGAGTACATGCATACATACATACATTGTACACGTATGCATACCTACATACATCCATACATACATGCATATATACATACAGACATGCATGCGTACATACAAACATACATACACACATTCATACATATATGCGCATACAGGTAACACATATACGTGTTTTACGGCTTCGTCTTTTCGCTTCCAATGAGCTTTGGAGGCGTAGCTGTGGTTCCAGTGCGGCCCAAGAGAGCCACAAGAGAACAAGAGAGGCCCAGGGACGGCTCCGAGGCGGCCGCGAGAGCGCCCGGCGTGCCTCCAGAGCGCCCTTCAAAATGTAGTTGGTGGACTCCGAGGGGGGGGATTGCACAAAAACCCAGGATTGCAAAAAAACCCTCGTAGGATTGCAAAAAAACCCTCCGAGGGTTTTTTTTGTTTGCAATCCTTCGTCATATTGGCCCTCCCCTTTTGTTGATCGATGGCCTCCAAGAGTAGGTGGCGACATCCGAACCCTGTTCCCACCGACTATCGATTCTCCTGAATCGATGGGAGGCGGGGGTCGGGATCGGATTTCGCCTCGTGCTAGACGAATTCTGAACCCTATCCCAGTCGAAAGTGAGCCTGGTAACTCAAATAGCATCCGATTCCATGATAGACATCGGATGGCAAATAGCGTCCATCGCTCTGCTGTGAAGGTACAGTATGAGGGGTGGACGGATAAGATAGGATAAGATCGATGTAATGATCTTTCCAGCACATAGCGAACACTCGCGGTGTCCGGGCAAATAGGGCGCGCGTCCCTTGGGCCAAAGGCAACGGCGCGCGCGAGCTATGCTCCCGAAACTATAACATCTCCCAAAGACCTACCCTTAAATTAAAGTATCCCAGCCGCCCATCGAGTTGCCTGACTCGTTGATCTGCGAGGGCAGGGCTGAGACTTCGCTGCCGAAAGATGGCCTCCACGGCCCTCCAGAACAACCCACGAGCGCCTCGAGGTTTCTCCAAAAGGTCCCAAGAGAGCTCCAAGATGGCTCCAGACCGGCTCCAAGAGGCACCCAGGGCGAAGAGCCCGCGAAGCCGCTTACGGTTGACGTATGGGAGCGAGCTGATGCACACCCCAATCAGGGCAACTCGCATGGGGATCGGTTCTGCGATGGACTGATGGGGATACCCGTCGGTCGGATGTGGGTAGTGGAGCCATGAAGTAGGAACGCGCTGGAAGTAGATTGGGTTTCCGCCTGCCCCCAGAAGTGTAGGGGAGCTGTGAAACCACTCGACCACGGAAGCAGGAAAGCGCACGAGGCAGCTCCGGATCCGGAAATCCAGAAATACCTACTTCCAACAACCGGCGGGCACGCGAAACGTCACCAGCTTCATACCTCAAGCACCAGTGGCGGCGAGACGCCAGACTCGAGAGAAGGAGCCGCCTTGCATCTGTGCAGCTGATGAGAAACCAAGAGCTGCTACTCACACTCAGTAACTTGCCATCGCTCGGACGTCATGCACTTTGCATTTTTCGGCTTCGTTCGTGAATGGTTGTTCGCCAGGTGACCCAGCATGTTCCTCGATGGTCCTTGCACGTGGAAAAATGCGCACGTCCGAGCGATGCCAAGATAAAGCCAGAGAGCGCTTCGAGCGAGAGCCCCACTTTGTGAGCAGGAGTCGTCCTCCATCCGTGCGCCTGTTGTCTAATGTTCGCCTTATGGCACCTGGTCATCAAACCGATCGCAAATCCTGAAGATATGCCGCCCTTAATCAGCGCAGCTGTTGGATGCCGCGGGGGCCCAATCCTGAGCGCGCGAGCCGGTGCCCGGGGGACCGCTGTGGGCCCGCACCAGAGGCTCGCCCCGGCGAAGGGTCACTCCTGCGAGTAATTCGCCAGGATGGAAGGAGGAGGAGACCGAGAGGGCAGAAGAGGGAGGCGGAGGGGAGAGAGGAAGAGAGAGATGAGGACGGCGGATCGGGATGGAGTCGGACGGGGGAGAGAGGAACTGAGAGGAAGGGAAAGAGCGAGGAGGGAAAAGGAGCTAGGCGGAGAGGGAGCACGGAAGAGCTCAGGCTGGGGCAGGGGTGGCTGAGAGGGGGAGGAGGGGCAACATCGGAAGAGGTCTTTATCGCTTATCCAGCTCGTGCTCGAAAGCCTCCTCCTCCTCCTCCTCCTCTCACTATCACTTGCTTTCTTTTATGCCCATCCTTCTCCCTCGCTTTTCTGTTCTCGCATATCAATCCATATTTTGCCTTACCGTCTCCCTCAAATCCATTCGCATATGGATCTGGCGCCGTCCGTGAAGTCCCAAACCCTGCAACAACACACGCTCGAGCCCAAACGATGCCAGAGCGTGGACCCCAGAGCGTGTAGCACTGTGTGGGGGGCCTGACGCGCGCGCGCGCGCGCGCGGGTGTGTGTGTGTGTGTGTGTGTGTGTGTGTGTGTGTGCGTGCGTGCGTGCGTGCGTGCGTGCGTGCGTGCGTGTGCGTGCGTGCGTGCGTGCGCGTGCGTGCGTGCGTGCGTGCGTGCGTGCGTGCGTGCGTGCGTGTGTGTGTGTGTGTGTGTGTGTGTGTGTGTGTGTGTGTGTGTGTGTGTGGTGTGTGTGTGTGTGTGTGTGTGTGTGTGTGTGTGTCTGTGTGTCTGTGTGTGTGTGTGTGTCTGTGCGTGCGTGCGTGCGTG